AGAGGAGGCCAAGAAGTATAAGGAGGCGTCCAGTAATTTGCCTAAAAAGGGTTGTCCCAAACGAGAATCATTGGTATAGTATTTGTTTGCAATTAGCAATAACTGTAATTATAATGACGTTTGTATTAATTGAATGTCTTTTGGCACATAAAGTGTATGCAATTATTAGAGAAATTCAAGACTCGTCTCTTGACTACGAAAGAGAGAAAAAACTCAGAAGAGTCGGAGGAAAAAGAGGGCAACACATCATCCGATTGGCTCTCACATCACCTCCAGTGCCAGAAAGAGGAGACCATTTTGGCCAAAGACGCCAACTTAAGGAACGAAGAGGACTGGTATGACATCTATGACCCCAGAAATCCCATCAATAAGAGGCGGCGCGAAGAGGGGCTCGAGAAGAATGCGAAGAAACCTCGCGTTAAATAATTGTTTCGATTTCATTATAAATACTTTCATAGAAACCATATTATTATCGATTGTTTTCTAAGATTTATTTTTACGCTTTCAGACAATTTATGACTTATTTATCACTTCCAATGACTACAGAATACATTTGAAGATTTCTTGTTTTCAGTAACACTATTGTGATATTAAACTGTGAATTCATTTACACACAATAGGACTGACACTTTGAAATGTTATTGAGTTGTGAGCTATTAATTGATGGCTAACCGTATCTAAATTAATCTTAATTAATCCAAATTATATGTTTCTAACCCTTAATATTCTAATATTTAAATTTTATTTATTTTTGCCTAAAATAATTGCAGTGAAATATGAAAGCAAAACAAAGTTGGTCTAAAATGTCAGTTAACCTATGATTTAACTGTAAATATTGTTAAATAGTTTACCAATTCAATAAACATCTATTCATTGATATAAAACTTAAACTATAAATAGTGTAAACGAGATAATATTAAGACAGGTTCTGTAATTTCACCCAAAAATTCTGATGTAAACAGTAATAATTATGTATTAAATTTACTGTAAAGATTTCATTTTGATATTTAATAAACTATTGAGAAATTTATGAAACCTATAGTATATAAGTTACTCTTATTCTCGCTCACTTAACATATTATTTATTCAATAAAATTGACGTGTGTTAAAAATTAAGTTATTGTAAGTTTTTATCAGATAGTTACTTGCAAAAAATGAAAAATAATACTCATGTTTGTGTTGAATAACATTATTTTGTGGAATAACAGTGAAAACTAATTTGAACGGTATAAATAATTTGCAACTATCAATACAAGAATGAAATCGTTGTGAATATTGTATAAAACTATAGGGTTTTGTTTTGTACACATCCATTGGTTTACTGCATTACTACATTGGGATGGGAGGGAATGGGAGATGATTACGGTAAAGCTAAATTCATGATCAACAAATTAGTCATAAGCATTGCGAACGTCAAACATACAGAATAATAATTGGAACATGCTACTAGTACTGTATATCTATAATGAAACCCATTCAAATGTAAGACTAGGGTTGATTAATGGTGATATAATTTGATTTGTTATAATTTATTTAATTTAAAAAGAATTTATAGATTTGATTAAAAAAATATTAACAATAGTAAACGCCAATTGTTAAAACATTTGTTCGTTTGACTCAAATTACTATATGAATTGATGTTAACTGTATTTTGACAATATTTGGTAAAGTATACCAAAAATGAATTGAATGATTGCAATAACTTCTGGTTTAAGTGATAAGAGTTCTCTTGACTGCAATGTAAGGATGTCTGCAATCGAGTGATAAGGAAATTGATTTTCTCTATACGTTATGTTCACTGCATTATTGTTCGTCTTTATGGCAGCGAAAGCTCACAAAACCTCACTTTTAGGTAATAATGCTTTAAATAGGATTATGCGATGCGTTGACTCGCATTCAAAATACTGTAAGATTTGTGGCTTAAATAAAATCGTTTGTTTAGAACTTAATTATTTGCTAAACGACCAGAATTTCAAACTATAGACAAAACTGTAATAGTTAGTGATATACACTATAACTGGAAAACTGCGAATTCAATTGTATTTGATGTCAATCTTAATGGTCTAGAATTTTGGACACACTTTGGACATATAGCCCTGGTATGAGTGCTCATCCTATTTAAGCAATTTATATGATTTTTCTCATGCATTTTAACGGCATTTAACTCCTAAACTAAACGAATGCATACGTGAG